GATTGTGCCATAACAGGGTAAATATGCTATAGCCCAAACAATCCTTAACCAAATTCCAGATTTTCTGAATAAGAAGGAAGGTAGGGGAAAAAGGAAAGGCAGGCAATCTTCAAGCGAGGCAGGCAGAGAATCAGACCGCAGAATTTGGCCTATAAGAGAGTGAGTAGGGTCAGTGTGGCCCTCCACCATGGCATTCGTTGTGTTGAGTCTGAGCAGAAATATAGTATAGCCAGGTCTTTTGGAGTGCAAGCCCCTCCTTCCCTCACTGTACGTTGCAAAATAGACAACTTGATCCTGGCAGGGCATCTTTTCCACACCAGATCATGAAAGAGAGCATCAATAGTTTTGAAACAAAATTTAGGAATGCACTGGGTGGAGCCTAGTGATGGACCTGACCGGATGCCCTCCTCAGGAACCCCAGGTACCCAACTCACATCTTCTCTCAGAGCACCTCACACCCCTACTAAATAAATAATTTTTCCATGGGGACACAAACCTAAAGCTCAGCATGATCCTCAGTCTCACAGAAACTGGGTAATGCCAAAGGAAGTTTCTTTCAGCACTCGAATCCATCATCCAAACTACACACTGCTCCTACAATGTTGTCACAGCGGGAAGTGTCTGACCCGCCTTCCCCTTCACTCACTTCACACTTGCATGATCAAGTTCAAGACACTTCTATGGGAGAGTTGGCTACTTCTATGTCAGATGATGACCAAGACTTATCACACCCGAAGGAGGTTTTTAAAAAGTATTTTGCTTAATTGCCTACTAAACAGGACATTGAGGGAATGTTTAGTCATTTGGAGAGACAGCTTGACAAAAAGATGGCAGACCTGTGGGGAGATTTGCAAAGTTTCCACCAATGACTGGTTTTGGTTCAATGTTCCCTCGCAGCTTATACTGCAGCTATTTTTCAACTTCAGGAGGTCATATCGTTGCAACACTAGTATATTCATTCTATTTGGACACATGCTGGTGATAGGGAGAGAGGACTGTAACCGCTGCAATAATGTGTAACTATGGGGTATCCCCAAAGCCACCGGACCAGCAGACCTGGAGCACACGGTCCAAGCTATTTTCAATCTCTATATAATACTCCTAATGGGGATTATGTGGAATTTGGCCATGTACACAGGGCTCAGCATTCAATGTTTTGCACTTTGTAAATTGTTACTAGCCACCTTTTGTTTACATAAGTTTAATGACTGGCTGGTTGCTCCTACTACATTTCTAGGCTGTATCCTGACTATGCTGCATAGGTGGCTACACTCTACGCCTGCCCTCTTTTTGTGTGTAGGTTATGACAGCATTGTTTTATTACTATTGCTCCATACATTAGACTGTGGAGGAGCAATCACCTCTTCAGTACTAAAGATGTTTGCACATACCCTTTTTTCCTGTTGATCCTGGATACTGATACTTCATAGGCCTGTTAGAAGTGACTTCACCCATTGTTGTGTGGTCCTCCTTGTTACCAAAGAACAGTCTGCCCATTTTGGGAAGGACTCCTTGTTCATTATATTTTTTGTAAAAAAAATGTATGCATGCTTTATTAACCATTTTCGTCTTCAGGTGATATGGTGTGTCTTCATAATACTTTTTCTTATCTCTTGACATTTTAATGGGGTTGTTTTACATTTGAAGGTTTGATTAGGCACACCACCTCTAGAGATGCAAAATGCTTTTCCCAGTTTCCCAGACAAAAACACCTTGTTACTTTTATCCTACAATGGACAAAAAGTTTTCTTTAACTCTTGGGCGCTAATGGCTGCCAGCTGAACGATCCACTTGCTGGAACTCAAAGTTTTCAACAGTTTATCACAGTTTTTCACACTGACTTGAGGGGCTGCTAATCCAAGGCTCTGGGGCTTCCACCACGAACAAAGAAAACAAAAAAGGGAACAGAGCACCACCTCCGTGTGTAAAATCGTTTATTAGGATAACTAAAACAAGAGATAAATGTACTCACAAGGAAACATTTTCATCAGGCTTTAACAACAAACAAGAGGCCACACTGTCTGTTAACCTAACATGGTATCGCCCCGACTATGTAATATGGTAGCCTCCGTCCACCGGCCACAGTCAACCAAGATTGTCGTGTTTCAGGGGCAAGCCCCCTTCTTTAGAATCATAGCTTGCTTTCCCTGAGAGTAGGGTATAAGACTGGGCTGACTGCGGCCGGTGGACGGTGATGTGACTGGAGGCTACCATGTTACATAGTCGGGGCGATACCATGTTGGATTAACAGACAGTGTGTTGTTAAAAAGCCTGATGAAAACGTTTGCTTGTGAGTACATTTATCCCTTGTTTTATTTATCCTAATAAACGATTTTACACACGGAAGTGGTGCTCTGTTGCCTTTTTGTTTTTTATCCTACAATAGTCTACCTCCGGAGCTGAAGTATGGGAGGGACTTTACTGAGGCTCTTCTTCAATTGGTTAAAGAGACCTTGGTGATGTATCTCTTGCTCTGTAATGATACACTACCTGTTTTAATAATTTGATATCTTGGGGGGCTGAGCACTTCCTTTTTTTCTTTCTCCCTTCCTCATTATATCTGTTCTGGTGCTTTGTTTATACTCTGTGTTTAGTAAATGAGCCGACTCCTATTTTACCCTAAGGAATCGGGCTTAATTTGTGAGTCGGTGACCCTACTCCATTGAGTAGTGTGGTCTTTTCCTCCATAGGTATCAGACACATAGGTATCAGACACATGCTTCTGTGGGTTCCCTCTGGCAGCATGTCTCTGTTATCAGGAATTTGCCTGTTACCGTTAGCAATTTGACCATGTTTTTTCTTATTTGTCTATCTCTTTACTTAAACTTTTCTCCCTATTCTTCTCTCCCTCTATTTTTTTCTCTCTGCCCAAGGGTGTATTTTGGTATGTAGCTATGCAGTGGCGATTAATTTTTTGTATAAACCATTTCTACTATAGAGACCATCTCATTTGGCTTGCTAAATGCGAGAGGTCTTAATGTGCCCAATAAACCTTCCCAAATGTTGTACTAAATGCAGAAACAGAGGGTCAAAATCCTTTTTTTTGCAGGAAACCCATTTTATGAAGTCTCTTGCTCCAATTTTACGTTCACAGCATTACCCCTTGTCTTGCATGAGTGATAGCCCCATGCAGAAGTCTAAAGAAGTTGCAATCTGTATTCACGCATCTCTCCCTCTTGTGTTGCTTCAGGTGATTTAGGATGATAATGGGCATTTTCTATTTCTCAAGGTGCAAATTTATGGCAAATATTTATTTACCTAATGATAACCAGCTAGGAACCTTCCATCACATTATATCATATAAAGACTTAGAAGACTTTGAAGAAGGTTTCTTGGTGGTGATTTTGCTTTGACCCCACATGGATTCTACTACTAGTAAACACACATATCCCTTTCTCACATTAATAAAGTGCACAAAAGCCTGCATCATTTCCAATTGATGGATGTGTGGAGGGTTCTTCATCCATCAACTAGAGATTGCATGTGTTATTCTGAGACCATTGGTACCTTTAGTAGTAGAATTGACCACTTCTTTATCTGTCACCACCTTTTATGCTGGTTCCCTAAATCACACATTGGGTCCAAATTATGGTCTGATAATTTCCTACTATTTTTTATTTTCAAAGTCCCAAACACCATAACATGTTGGCGTTTTAACGAAACCCTACTTCAGGGTCCCCTAGTAAAAAATGCAGTAATTTCTGCTTTTTCTGACTTTCAGCTTAACCACTCCACACCAGATCCTACCCCTTCCATGACCAAATGGAAGGCCTTAAAATAGATATTGCAGGGATCTTAATTTCCCATTGTTCTCATTTGAAAAAACAACGGGCATCCCAGATCTCTACCCTCATGCGAGAAATATGTATTTTAGAGCTATCCCATAAACCATATAGGGATGAAGCAGTCCTACAGGAATTACTGCTTAAACACTCTGACCTTCTGTGCCTCCTAGATTTAAGCTCTCTGAAACTGCAGGATTCTATCTGGCAATTTTATTACGAACACAGAGATAAATGCAGAGCGGCATTAGTACAGTCCCTTCGGTCTAAGCTCACTTGTACTTATATCTCCAAAATTAGACTCCCTTCCCACCAATTAGTTCATTATTCAGATATATGCTTAAAACCCTTACCTTTATTAAATATGCCCATACTCGTAATATTCGTTTGTGTTTACTGTCAGTTGATGCTGAGAAGGCGTTTGATCGCCTGGACTGGTCTTATATCCAGCGTACATTGCAAAAAATGTGGATCCCACAGTCATTACTATTTTAGATTATGGCCTTATATCATCACCCCACTGTGAGAATCCAGGTCAATGGCACCCACCAGGGCTGTCCATTCTCCCCTTACCTATATGTCTTAGCAATGGAACATTTAGCTACTGTGATCTGCGCTAACCCTCATATAAAGGACATTCCCACCTGTAAAATCCATCATAAGCTTAGCCTATTTGCTGACAATTTGCTTCTGTATATTTCTAATCCCAGGCATGCCTTTTCTCATATATTGGATGAATTCTCCTGATTTAGCACTCATAGTAATTTTAAGGTCAATCAATCCAAATTGAAAGTTTTGAATGTCTTATGTGCCTTGAGTTAACATAATTTTTTGCAACAAAAGTATGCATTTACTTGGAAGGATGACTTCATCCAATATCTGGGGGTCTTTATTCCCTCTAACCTGAGTTAAATCATATTCCCTTGCTACATCATACAATACAAGACTTACAAACTTGGTCCAGGCTTACTCCCCTGGTTAGGTAGGATAGGGATTTTAAAAATGTCTACTTTACCCAAATTCCTTTATTTGTTTCAAACATTTTCTATTGGTCTTCCAAATACCTTTTTGGTCACCTTAGAACAGCTTTATTGTGCTACATAAGAGCTAAAATATCTCCTAGTTTGAGATTTGATATTCTAGTTAGGCATAAAGATTTGGTTGGCCTGGGAGGTGGAGAGGAAGAGGGAGGAAGTGCAGCCAGGCCAGGAAAAGCAGCTCTGAGTCGTGCTATGAGCAGCAGGGGATCGATCAGGAAAGGGCCTGCCGTGTATATGAGAGATGCCTGTGCTCTTCGAGCTGTGGAGGAGACTTCCTCTGTCTGCTGTTAGTCAGGTTAGAAATGTTAGACAAGCCCTTCATGTGAACACTGTAGGTTTCTACAGCACACTAGCACCCTCTAGTGTTTTGGAGGTTTCAGAAAGAGCAAGTCAAATGATGTGGCTGTTCAATATAAGCATGGACTCCCTGTTATAACAGTCTCCCTGCCATCGCGGAATGAACGCTGCCAATTCACCATTAAACCCTTCACAACTACAGTGGGAAAGTTCTTAAAGGACATCCAAAATGAGGACCAAGGAATTGAGAAACTGGCTGCTATATCCACAGATGGTGCCAAGTTCTCTTCTTCAACACTGATGGATGTCTTACTAAAGAATGATTTCCATCTTGTCATAAACAATTCAACATACCATGTCCAGTCTCTTCAGGCAGACAAGCAGCCCATTCATGAGTCTGATGGATTTGATCCTGTAAAGTCTTTGATTCAGGACCTGTATTCAACATTGCACTTAGAAGAACTTCATATACACAAAGAACACGAGCTGCTACAGAGGATAGAAGCTATGAAAGAAGAGCTGCTGCCACTAGAGCAGATTAAGTTACATATAATGGCTATATTCAGAGGCCAGGACTAAGATTCTTTTGTGGACTGGACTGGCAATTCTGTCTACACAGGGAGGAGCTTTAGGCTATCTCACCTGGTGGGTTTACTCCTGGGATATCATGGAGCCTGTTACATATTTCCTTACATATGGAAATGCCATTGCCTTCGGTGTATACTACATTCTAACCAACATGGACTATGTTTATCCAGATGGAAGAGACCGTGAGTTCCTGCATTTCTTCTACAAAAGAGCCAAGAAGCAGCACTTTGATGTAGACCGATACAATCAGCTGAGGAATCAACTGGCAGAAACGGAAGAAAGTTTAAGACGTCTGCAGAATCCTCTAAAACTCAAGCTTCCAATTGAGCAGCTACAAGAGAAAGAATGACATGGAAAATTTTTATGTAGTTTAGGAAATTCTTTGTGTTTTAAATAATGTTGTAAATTAAACTGGACCTTTTGACCACTACTTTAAGAGATTACAATAAATGATTAATAAAAGGTGAAAAAATTAAAAAAAAACACAAAAAAAACTGTCATCAGTACTTACTTTCTTGGTTGCACTCTGTGGTCAGACCCAGCGAGGATGCCCTGCCATTTGTGGTTCCCTCTTTATTAACCAGTTGACATCCGCACCTTTTATTATGCCTATATGTGAAACACCCGGTACCGGGTGTTCGCATTGCGACAGTGCCGTCCGTCCGTTTTTCTACTACGGGCGGACGGCAACTGGTTAATGGTGTGGGACATTTTTTTGCGATTAGATTTCCTCTCATATATTGTCCCTCTTATTCCTGTTGTGGGCAATCCTGAATTCCAACCAGATGAAGCGACGGAGCCTTTCTTTATGTGGGAGGCAAAGAAGCCATCCCCTATCTGCATGACAATGACAGCAGGGAAACTGCAGCATTTCTTATATTTAAACCAAAATATATCTACGTGTATTTGGCTTTGTTTTTTCCAGCTCAGGGATTTCTTCCATACATTGGATCAAAGGTCAAAATTGTCATAGTGGCTCACTGCCTTTGAAGCATTATGTCAACATTCAGAGGGTCCAACACACAAATGCTATCTTTGTTATACAGTCTACTACTGACAGGTATGAGCCCCTCCATACTTTGTAGCAGAGTGGGAAAAAGATCTTAACCATTCTTTAATGGGCAATGAGGTCCATAAATCATTTACTCTCACACATTAGCTTACATTTGTGACATCCGCTCAAGAGAAAAGTTACACATTTCTGGTATCATAGCCTGCATATTCTTCATAAAATGGTATGCTCGATTCCTGACATCTGCTGGAGATGTGGCATGGAGAGAGCAACTTTAGGTTATATATATATAGTGGTATTGCCCACCGATCCAAGCTCTGTGGCAAGAGGTCTTTCGTGTCTTTCAACAAGTGACTTCTAGTTCAGTCATACCCTCATCTAAGATCCCACTCCTCTCGATCTTGCCTGGTTCTATTCCCCACGGGCAACCGGAACAATTATTTCTCGCCATTGGAAATTGTCACTTAGTCCCACCATTGCTGTCCTTGATTGTACAATTGAATCCTTTTAAAGGGAGTTTGGTGGGGAAACTTTAATTTCTTGTTATCTGTACTGTTACTGCTTTCAATACACTTTAATTATGTAAACAAAATGTAGGAATCCAAATTGGAGTAATTTGAAGGATATAGAAGAGTTGGGGGCATCCAAACCATTGTTATTAAGTTAACCCAGCCAGCCACTGACAAGAGCAAATGACACCAAGTTCTGCATTTGTCATGCAATTTACAGATCAAAGGACACAAATTGAGTTTAACATAAAGCTTGGATTGTGCAGAAATAGGTACACCTAGGTAGCAAAAGGAAGGGACAATGTGTACTGGTGTAGGTGGTAGAATGTAGGTCCAGAGGAAGCAAAGTGGCTTTATCCCAGTTTATTTCTAACCCAGAAAATTTTCCAAATTGGCAAAATAATTGAATAAGATTTTAAAGACATCGGTGTCTCCCAAAAACAGGTGTGAAAGGTATTATATGCATAGAGGGCAATCTTTTTTTCTGAAGTACCCCTAATAAATCCTGATATAGTAGCATAATTTCTAATAAGTATAGCCAAAGGTTCTAAGGCCAATGAACCTTTGGCCCTTTCAACTCTGGATAGCTGAAAGGGCTGCAAGCTCTTTTATGCTGACACATGTGTAGGGCTTACAACATAATAGACAAACTCACTTTATGAAATTAGGACATAACCCAAAGCAACATAAAAGTTCCCACAGGTAAGACCACACAACACACAACTAGTCAGGTACACTGAGTTTCAGCAGCAGGCCAGAAGAATGTGCAGTCACTTCGGGAAGTCATATCCAGTAAGTGTTCCCCTGGCTGTAATGCAAGAGCAACACAAGCTGGCTGCCAACCACCAATATATGATACAACAATGCACTGTAAATCAATGTTATCTATGCTGTTGCGGCTGCACATACAGCAGTAGGATATCAATTAGTATTTGTGTGAGCACAGAAGGCGTGCAGGTTTTGGGGATTTGGGGTTCTTTTCGTCACATCAGTGGCTTCTTATTCCAGAAGTATAAACCATCTTGTTAACAGCTTAAGAGGCAACCAATATGGTGAACTACAACCAGGTGGAAATCAGTCACAATAATCACTCTGAAGCACACACTGTGTGGTGTAACAGACTAAGCTCTAGAGGCAAATTAACATGAGAAATAGGAAGACTTTTGCTATCTCAGGGCCATCAGCACCACCACTGACTCCATCCCTGTGAAACAGCAGGTATATGAGAAAAATAAGGAAGTTTGGATGCCATTAGTGAGGAGGACATGGGGAAGGCTTCCAGGGGTAGGTTTCACCCTTCCCAAACCTTAGGAGTTATACATGGGTGTGATGAAATTGTGGAAGGCACCATTGTGTTCAACAACACCTAAGACTTGTGGCCCCCTGCCACAGGATATTTGTGGTGAATGGAAGTGGTTGCCAAACCTTTTGGATCACAAGAAGTAAATGGCAGATTTCATGCTGCATTCACAGATGGAGACAAAAATGTGTCACATGTAAGAGCTGCTACAGAAAAACCTGTTGACTGCCTTTCCAAAGAGCGGCAGGATCAGTTTTAATGGCCAATATGCCTGCAGTCTCTGAAAAGAAGAGCAGTGGTTGCTTTGCCAGTGATGCTTCAAAGTTGTTCTTCAGAATGCATGGGCCAAGCATGGCTGCTGGCTGCTGTCACAGGCAGCACCTAACCATATGATTTTGTCCAGTACACAAACAGGCTGTTGGGATGCCCTATATCCAGTAATCTGTCATAGAGGGCACTCTGTGCAGTGGATGGTTTTCTGGCAGAGAATCAAATCTGCCTGTCCCATGACAGTTAAGTGGCTCGCTTTTATATTACTGAGCCAATTCAGGATCAGCAGTGAAAACAAAACACTTGCGGGTAATGCTACTGAGGCTACAATATTTTAATGTCTACATTCTATGACATAATACACTCTAATGTTGATTTTTTTTAAATTAAAAGCTGGCTGTTGTCTCTACTGTTTAATGGAGTCTGTACAATATTTCCAGCTGTTGTTTCCAAAATAAAAAAATATAGGTTTCATAATAAAAGTTGCTTGATCTCTCCCTGTGAAATGGTGGCTTAGTAAAAGGGCTGACATGGTATGCAAAAATAGTCAACCTGCAGAATATTTCTGACTTTTGTCTTAAAATAATACATTCTAATTTTAATTTCATGATAAAACATGCTGAATCTCTCCTTCTTTAATTTTGGCCTTGTGAAACCATTTAAATAATTGGAAGTAAACCTGTACAATATTTCTCACAGTTGTCTCTGAACGAATGATAAAAAAACAACAACATTATATATTTCACAACAAAACCTGTCTCATCTCCCCCTCTTACATTGCAGCCTTGGAAAACTGCTTACATAATGTGCAGCAAGTCTGTAGAATATTTTTGGCTGCTTTCTGTCTCTAAAATAATATACTATTAAAAATACCTGGTCTCTCACTATTACATTACAGCAGCTGCTTACATACACTACAGCCACTGTACTATATGTTTGGCCATTGCCTCTGAAATATGACGCTGTATTTTTATTTTCAGCATAACAACTGCTTGGCTCAGGAATGTGTGCTTATGGTTTTGAAGTGTTTTGGGGCATTTTGACATTTTAATAAATGTTTAAGACAGTACAGTATGGTATTGAAAAAAAGATCACAAGTTATACTGTGGAACTGTTTTATCACTCTTTGGCAATTTGTTTTAACTTTAGTTTTATGTTTTTTCTGACAGCAAAATTACCTAAACAGACTTTTTTCAAGTTGAATACAATTAATAATATTGGGATATTGTTACCGTTTGTAGGCCAAGCAATAATGTAAAAGCAAAATAATTTATTGCACAAGATAAATATACAATGCCATATTACAGTGTCACTGATGCTGTTTGTAACAATTACACTGTTCCATAACATATTCAGCTGAAAGTCATCTCTCAAGTACTGTATATATTACATAGGAATGGTGTTTTTTCCCATGTCGCCTTTGAGGTCATGTAAAAAGCAGCACCCTCTTCATGTTGAATGGTATCTTTTACATTTTATTTGCATTGGTAAATGTCCCTTATGGAAGTACCAGGCCCCACATGCCCTTTGTTTGCCAATACCTTGCCTATTAGTCTCAAAAACAACCAGAATTGCTTTTCACGATGTGTCCCCTATTGAAATACGATTAAAGTAAAACTAAACTAAGGAGTTAAATCTTAAAAATAATGTATTTAACTACCCTATTAACAAAAATGTACTTTATTTGTGTATCACTCATCTGTAGATCCTCAAATCATCTCTGAAGTTGTGCTGGCACTGTCCTTCCTTCTGGGTTTGGCTACTTTTGTTCCCCATGGTCCCTGCGTGTGTGTGTGTTGTAAAGTAGCCACCACTCCAAGCTTATTCCTGTGATGCATTATAATCTCATGTTCAGTTTACTAATTTGTATTAAGATTGTTTTCCATCACAGGAGTGAACTTGGAGCAGTTGTTACGTTACAACATGCATAGGGACCATTGGGAACAAAAGTAGCCACCCTCCAGAAGTATGGACAGTGCCAGCACCTTCTGGATTATTTTGTCTTAACTCTCATATCATGTTCTTTCAGTGCTTACAGCTTTCTTAAGAACCAGTTGGACCGATTACATTTTCTGTGCGAATTTTCATACTTTTTGCTTATCCTGGCATTAAGATAACTCAGAAATTCTACTGTTAGAGGGAATTACTATTTTATGAAATTTACTTTTTACATGCAGACTCTACTGCAGAGGTCTTCCCTATTTCCCCTCAACAAATAAAGGGTATCAGTCTAATGAGTAGGACTCTCACAATGTAAATAAAATTCATATCTCATGTAGTATTCAGAATGTTGATCATTCCAATACATCTGACAGAATGCTATAGTGTTCATTGCTACGGGATGTGCTTTGTCCCCAATCTCTGTG